TAAACATGTAACTTACTTGTTTCAGGTCACTTACAGGCCGATTAACCTTGGTCGGAGATGTTTCTGTTTCACTTCCGAATGCAAGGACCAAGAATGATTTCCGCTTCTATAATAAATAAAGTGCCTAGGAGATGTATTTAATTATTTTATAAAATTCATAAATTTCACATACGTACACGAAATGATCAGATTGGCCAACGTCCTCATCCATCATATCCTGTATCACAAGTTTGTCTAAATTATACTATTATTTAAAAGTAGATATATTATATTATCAAACACTATTACAACAACCATGTAAAGGGTTAGCATTTACCAACCATACCAGATTTACTGAAATTACTAACCAAAATTAGTAGTTTTGGTAAAGGTAAAATTACTATTTGGTGTAAATACCACTTGGGCCATGGTTCGGAAATTGGATGAAGGCCATTACCAGAGTACCATAATGAGCCTTCAGATTACCACCACTTTACTATTTTTTTATTTTAATTTTTGGGTACTTTAAATACCAAAATCTGTTTTATTCTCTCTCACATCAAATAGTATCTTCCCTTTCTTCGTTTCTTTCTCCTCAGACTTAAGAGAGTCCTTCCCTCCCTTGATCTCGGCTACCCCCATTGCAATTGGTAACTTATTTCTCTCTTTCTCAATCTCTCTATTTCTTCAATCCTTTTCTTCAAATTTAAATCTTAGATCAAAGATTTTGCATCTTTTCTCGAAATAATGTATAGACCAATTGGGATTAAAAATTTTCTCTAACAAAACTCATGAATTGTGGGTATTTTGTAAAAGCCATTGTTTTTGTCAAAGATGGAAAAAATCACAACCCAATTGGTAATTGTTGATTGATACCGGTATTCTTTCTTAATTAGTCCTAGATGACAAGTTTTTCTAAATTGTACTATTATTTATTGAAAAATGATTAATATATTTTTCAATTCAATATATTTTACAAGATTTATCGGTTCAATTATTAAATCATACAACTTTAAGTTTTCCCTCCTTAATTCAAATTCAAAATTAATAATTTCTTAATAAATGCACTATGAGTTGTATTGAACTGAATATATCAATCATTATTTATATTTAAAAGTAAGTATATAATATTATCCAACACTATTACAACAAGCATGCATGAAAAACTAATTAAGACGAATTTGTCCAAGATTTCTAAAAAGTTTTCAATCTCACGCATTGCTTGAAAATCTAATTTCACATTTAAGCATCACAATTCTGTCTATTTACAAAATGATTGTTGTAACAATTATGTGAGCTACTGGCTTCATTTATTGTAAATCCCAATAATTATTTTATCGGTAAAATAAGAATTATTATTATTGCCAGTGCAAGGGTAGCATATATATAGAACAAGATCAGAAAACCCAAAACGGCCAACAACTACAAGATGTCGACGAGAACCGGCACAGCAGAATGCTTGGGGCTTCACTTACCACATTTTAATTAGACCTCTGCA